CCTGCCGTTGTTGGACAACCAGCGCAATGACTGCAGCGCTCGCGATGGCGACATAGCCTGCTCAAGGAAGGCGTGAAAGTCCAACTCCTCCGGGTCCTGCACGCCCCTGGCTGCGAGGAAGAGCGAGAGCTCCTGGAACGTCCTCACCGCGTTCAGGATCGTGGTCGCCTCGGACTGGGTGACTCGTTCCTGAGCCAGCCTCCGAACCGCTTGCTGCCAGTCGGCATAGCGCTTCGGGTCGTCGCACCTCCGGGGCCGAAGGACGCCCAGCTTCATGAAGGCCTCCGTCAGCAGGTTGACCCTGCGGCCGACCGCTTCGGCGTTGTCCGGGTTCTGCCTCAACCGCAGGCCCACGTTGCTTGTGGGGAGCCGCACCGCCGGCCGACGGAGGGTCGATGGCCCCACCGGCGTCACTCGCCAGGGGTCCGCCTCCACCAATGCCGCGCCTGCCGGGAGGAGGTGGGCCTGTTGCTCCGCCCGCACCCGCGCCCATTCAGCGGCGACGAAGTGGCCACCTGCGCGGACCGCATCCTCGAAGGCCTCAAAGGCGAAGCCGAAGTCGGAGTCCTGCATCAGCCCGTGCTTCTGCCGAAAAGCTCGAACGTTGGCCTCCTGGACACGAGACCGAAGTCGGAGTCCTGCATCAGCCCGTGCTTCTGCCGAAAAGCTCGAACGTTGGCCTCCTGGACACGAGACATCAGCCCCTCGCCAGAGCCGCCCGGGTCGTGCTCCATGGCTTCGGTGGCATAGCGCCCAGCAGTGGCGTCACCGCGAAACGCCATGGCTAAGAGCAGCGCCCCCCAGCGTAGAGCCTTGGCAGCAGCGGATGGGGCAGGCTTCGCATTGATGGATGCCACATGAAGCGCACACAGAGTGAGTCCTGCTCCCGCAGTAGGCGCAAAGCCCGCCCAGAGGGAGGTTCCTCCTACCCTCGTCCAGCCACCCACGGAGAAGCCTGGCTCTGGCCAGGGAGTCGCTCTCCTGGGCCATGGCTCGGTCCAACTCCGAGCACCCAAGCTCCATTTCCTCCAGGTCCCCATGAAGCCCCTGAAGGACACGAAGGGGAGGTCGCCAGATTCCACCCGGCCAGCGATGGCGGAGACATACATCGGGATGATGTCCTGGGCACGGAGGCCACTGCCTGCTTCAGCCACCATGGCCTCAGACAGGCGATCCTCCTCATAGCACCCATGATAGGCGGCCCAAGCCTCCTCTGCAGATGCACCTTCTTGAACCAAGACTGCACGCCGGCACCAGGTGCCGATGAACGGGAACTTGAAGCCGCCAAGGGACCCGTCACATCTTGCACACTGGGCATCAATGCAGGGTGCAAATTGCAGGTGGGGTATCTCCCCACTATCAACCAAGGGCAGGGGAGTTTGCACGAAAGGGGCATGCAAAACTTCCACAGCCGAAAGCCAGAGCATCCGGGCCTGGCCATGATTCCCCTGCTCCAGCAAGTTGCCCACATGGCGCTTGAAGTCGAGGTAGGCGCCTGTGGACAGGATAGGACGATCCGTGTGTACGGCAAAGTCAACTCCTGGAACTGCCAACATTCGACAAGTAACACTTGCCGAACCCGCAAACCAGAAGTTAAAATTTAGCCAGTTTGGATCATGCTTGAGCCAAAAGGCCCCGCATGATCCAATACACTCCTTGCAGAATGAAGCCTGTAAACCCAAGCCTTCCAACCTGATACAGGATTAAAAAGAAATCCAGCAAATGAACCCCAGCACGCATTGCAGGCAGAATCTCAGCAACTCAAGGCCTTCCATCCTCGCAACATCTCTCAACCATCTCTACGCTGCAAAGTCTCATACGATTACTTCCAAGCCTCTCAAACGCATCACTCAACATCCCTGACTGATGTGGTCAACCAGCAGAGCCTTGAAAAGACATGCGGCCCTGGCAAACTCGTTTCAAGGCACGCCCGTCTTCGTTTCCTCCTTGCTTTGCACCAAGTCAATGTTCGGCGGCAAGACTCACGACGGTGATAACAAAGGGGAGAGGAGGTGCAAGTGCTTGCTGGCACGTGCGCAGATGTGGACAGACACGGTTCACACACTTTGCTCTCCACGTCCTCCTGGACTTACCTAGTCTGGGGGAAGACAGAAAAACCCAAGGAGCACTGAAAGAAGTGGAGAGCCCCCGGGGCAACTGGTCTAACCGCGACCTTGGCCTCTCAAAAATAAGACCTAAGGCAATTGCAGCTCAGTGGGTACCAAAGTGTCACACACCTAGATGTCCTAACTTCTTGGCATTCTTTCTATTGACTGAATGAAACTACCCTATTGAGCTTTGGGCTATGGACACATGGTGCGGAAGCTGAGCCACAAAGTGATGTTGTGTTCAGAAAATTGAGGAACTCTCCATGTATGCGCCTTCTTCCCTCCACCCGCGGCCGGCCACAGCGAAATGCGAAATGCGTTGTTCTGTTTGAATCACAAGCTTGCGCAAGTGCGCGAGCGCCGGGCGCCGTGCAAGTCCTGTCACCATGCTGTTCCGCGCACCCAAAAGGAGATATTTGTTTACATCCGAAAACAACCAAGGAGGCGTCCAAAGGAGTTTCCAGCCCATCGGAAGCCCAACGCTCTCTCCTGCGCGTGCACGAGGTTGTCAGAAACGCGTGTCATCTGAGGCTTCAGCCTCTTTTCGGCCGAGTCATGTTGGCCACACCCGAAGTGAAGCTGCAGAGGTCCCCCGAAAATAGAGCAAGGGGGGGGGGGGAAGAAGGGCAAGAAAGGAAGGAAAAGAGATGGGAAGGGAAAGGGGAAGAGAGAAAAGGAGGTGAGAACTTTCACAAATGGACATTCGCGCAGCATCTTGAGGAACAGTCCCCCAAACTTTGTGGCAACCTGCATGCTACAATTGCACCATGGCCTAAGCCTGTTTCACAGTTTGACTTGAGACTTTTAGGAAATCAACAGCATTAGGATCCTCATCGACGGATTGGCCAGAAAGCAACCAACAAACCTGCGTGATTCGAGAACGGAACATCCGGATCAAGCCATTCCTCCCACCACCCTCGAGGTCGCGGGAAATCGGGCATCTCGCGTGGTAGGCTGCTCGCGCACGTAGGAACAGAACGGGGTTGACCTCGAGATGATTGCAGAATGGCTGCACCACACTCAGTTGGAATCGCCACATTTATCAAGCTGCTCCCTTTGCAGGGACGTGGCACTCGAAGGAAGTGCGCCAAATGCCCCCCAAAGCATCTGCAATCTGTTCACCCAGAAGGCCTGGCCACACCCACGGGCCCAAAGGATGCGAAGGAACCGCGAAGTTTGTATTCACCGCGCATAAGCTCAGAGCTGCTGGCCTCTCAACATGAAGGCCTGTGGAGGCAACAGCCGCCTTCAAGCGCCACGGACTTCGCAACTCGAGTTGGCAAGCCGTCATGCATACCCTAAGGTGACCAAATGAGATCACAAGTGGAGACAAAATTCCGCTCGTTGGCCGGAGGTGCTGCATGCTTCTTGGTTTTGGCTCAATGTCGCTCGAGCCGTTGGGTTTCCGGGCCAGGGGGGGCAAATGCTTGCCACGTGCGGGACTTTCAAACCTCGGCCGCGGTTCGGCGCGCCGTCGAACACATCTCTTCTCGCTCCCCCTTGAGTCTGACGGCCTCCAGCCTGCCTTGCCTTGTGAAGCATACACTGCAAGCAACCACCACCCAAGTTCCCAAGCCAAGGGAGCTCAAGGAACAAAAGCACATGGCCATCAAAAGATCTCAGGCGGACGCGGGCGTGCAGATTGTTGGCCAGGTTGTCGTTGCGAGCCTGGCAGTTCCGCGCAATCTGGCAGACTGTTGCAAGGTAGAAGCATTCGAGTCGCATCACAGAAATCCGCACAGCAGTCCCTGCCACTAAATTTAAAGCAACTGCGGACATGTCCATTGCAGAGCTGTTGCAACAAGGCTCAAAACGGCTCCGAAATCGACACACAAGCCCCATAAGCTTCATCCACTCTTTCCGGGCGAACCCCCACCTGCGCCTTGCCGGTCTTGCAGGAGCGCTCCTGTTCATCTTTGCTCGGGGTCCTTGGCGAGGGGCATGGGATCCCTAGCCACCAGCCGACACAAGCCGGATACAAGCTTAAGATCTGGAAGCAAAGTCATGCTAAACAAGTGATCCACCTGGAGAATCCTCCCGTGGCAAAGGGACGTGCAAGACAGAAAGAGAGAGAGAGAGAGAGAGAGAGAGAGAGAGAGAGAGAGAGAGAGAGAGAGAGAGAGAGAGAGAGAGAGAGAGAGAGAGAGAGAGAGAGGCAGCAGCGTCCGCAACTTTGCAACATCACGCCCGGCTTTCCAGCTGACTTAGCACGCTGGCGTGGCCTCTTGCCCGCGCCCAGGCTGCCGCATCATCGCCATCATCATCCGTCGCCTGCAGGCCATGTTTGGAACGCATGCTGTTCGTTCTTGCCTCCTTCAATTGACTTGTGCAAAGCCTTCAGAATGTCTCCCACATTTGTCTGGCGGTATCATGTAAACATGCTGCACACAAATTTGTCAATGCATAAACCTTGACAAGTCATTTGTGCCCTTTCGACCTTCTGTGCGACACAGACTATGATGCTTGTAGGTGCATCCTCACCCGTTTCCTCGCGAACGCGTGCCATCACACCTTAGAGGCAAAGCCGTCATCACACCAACAGAGGCGAGAGTTGCATCCTGTATTGGAAAGCCATGGAAACCAAGGCCATAGCCCTTTCTTGTGGCCGCAATCTACCAACTACGAGCGGGTGACCTTACCATCTCCCATTGGGACGGCAAAAAAGGCCACGCCCCAAGCGAACAGGACGCGACCCGCCTCAGCTCCCTGGTTCCCCAGCTCCCCGCTCCCGCCTTCACGTCGGCCCCCGCCGCCAGCAACGCAGCGCAGGCCGCGACGTCTCCGGCGTCGGCGGCGAACATCAGGGCCGTGGCGCCCTGGGCGCTGCGCAGGTCCACCTGGCGAACCCCTCACGGGGGAGGCGCCAAAGGAAGCCGAGGGGTGTGGAAGCCAGGTGTTCGGCCTGGGGAATTTGCAGATCGAAGGGAAATTGGGGAGCTGACAAGCGAAAGCATGCTTGCGAAGCCAAATAATCCCACGACATGTTGTTGCCATAAACAGGCGTGCTGCTGATCTCATGAACACAGGGAGGGAAAACAAAGCAAACAAGCTCAAATGCAACACATGCTGGCCACTAGGGCATTATTCTGGGTAGAAAAAAAGATAAACTTGCGGCTTTGACTGGGCTGGGCTTCATACGGGCGTATGAGACAAACCTGTGTTGCTTTCAGGCTGCTGGAGGTAGCGGTAGCGAGTCGAGCACTCGGAGGTGGAGGCTCTGCCATTGCGAAGAAGGATTCAGAAAGACGTTGCCATCCCATGGCTCCAACGCAGGCTTGCAGAAAATCGTTGAAAAGAGGCCAGAGGATAAGATCCAGCACCGGGTATCCTTGCCCAGACCCAAGTCTCTGTGGATATCCTTCTTCAAACGAGCGCCTCATTCTCCCATGCTTATCAATTTGAGAAGGGCACCTGCAGGCCCGGTCTGCTCAGCAGCTCCCGCAGCAAGCTCAGCGCTGGGTCTGGCAGACGGGAAGCGGGAATCATACATGTGCCCCTCTCGTCATGGCCCATGATTGTACCCCCTATAACTTGCCAAGTGAAGGTGGCCAGCCCCAAAGCCCACCTCAATCAGGCCACCAAAGGGTACCATCCGTCTTCGATCGGGCTCTCCTTGGGTCGTCTTGAGTTTGGGTCAATGAGGAATGCAAGCCACTGGCCGCCACACTCCCAGCCTCGAGTTTGCTCTGCCGCAGAATGACAGCAGCCGCAGCCCACCTCCGGCTCCTAGCGCAGAGGAGACACCGCGATGGGTACAAGTTCACTCGCGAATCCTCGCCTCCGCCTTGGCGGCCAGGGCTGCGCCAGCAGCATGCACCACCCAGTGGAGGCAGCTCCAGCCCTCCTACGCTTGGCAAAGCCATGCCGCATAACGCCAAAGAAACAAACCTTCCAACCACGGCTGCTTGCCATGTCTGACAAACCAAGTTTTGATCCAACTGCCCCAAGCTGATGCAACCGCCGGGCCTCTCCAAGGTAGGAGAGGTCCGCCTCTTGGCAATGCTGGCGAGCGGCCGCGAAGTCGCCTGTGCAAAGTTGTTTCAAGTGACTGCAAGGTCAGCCACCAGAGCCCTGCTGCCAAACCTGAATTTGTGCAGCCTCCCACTTGTTTGCTTTCTACGAACTCTGGCTCATGTCGTTCCTGGCAAGTGGTGAAAAACCAAGACTGATGAACCATCCTATTCATGGGAAGCTTGCATTCCCATTAACAAGCACCAAAGGAAGCTGCCGCCAGAGCACATTTCAACGCACCTTTGGCCCCGGCCTGCGGCCAAGCTTCGCATAGCATCCGCTGCTGCTTGGACGGGGTCGGGGGTCGCCTTAACGTCCTGATCGAACGAGGCGCTTTCTGGAACAATATAACCATGAAGATTGCATGTCTCAACCAGGACAGCCTCTGCTTGACCCGTTGCCTGCCATACGCAGGCAAGCCAGCCAGTAGGATCTACTATTCTACTAATTCTGCCGGCTCCCAACTGCACCTTCAGGCGGACTACATGCCGCCCCGCCTTGGCCTCCGCCTTGGCCTCCGCCTTGGGCACCACCTCTGCCTGCGCCTTGGCAAGTAGCGCGGCCGCCTTTTCCGGCGGCAGCTTGGCGAGGTATGCCAGGACCTGGCAGCGCCAGGTCCCTATCTGCGACTTGGCCCCCCAAACAAGCCAAGAATGCAAAAGTTTGGCTGACTCAATGGGTCCACATGAAGCTGATGGCGTTTGAACAAGCCGTTCGGCTTGTGGCGCTCAAGTGGAAAGTGCCCAGGAAACTTCATTTCATGGAATTTGTTTCCAGCCTGCGTTGCTGCGTGCACGTTTCAGTTTGTGCGGGCTTGCAGGCATCCAAGTCTTTCGCCGAAGCTTGAAAACCAGGAACATCAAGTTTACGCGGGTGGCATCGCACCGGACTTCTTCAACGCCAAGCAGTTGCGGATCACAGGAGTGGACCTAGACCCTGCAGCCATCCTCTTTGTCCACTGTCCAAACAGCGATTCCGCTCAAACACCCTTCAGCGTGGCAAGGGTCACCCCATGCGACACCTAATCTGCCCATTCGGCCCCACAAGCTGGCGCCTGCTCTTCTGCTGGCTCATGCGAGCACATCGCAGGCACGGGTGGAAAGGATGTCATTTCACGGCCTTCCTGAACTCTGCTTGTCTGGCCCGTCTGCGCTGAGGAACTGTGTTGTGTGTTGACCGCTTGGCTCAGCACAGATCTCGCAGCTCAAGCAAAGCAAACGCACCCGGCTCATCCTGAATGCAAGGTATCCGCTCTCACAAAGGCAGCTAACCAAGTGCCGGGCGAAAGTCTCGCATTGCTCAGCCGGGACCAGTCATACCTAAATGCTGCCACCACAACACACGACGCTTCGCCTTGAACATTTACCTGAATGATGCATCGATCCTGGGGTGCTGACTCAATGAAGCTACGTCGATATTCCGTCCCCATCCGGCCACATGAGGGGCCAAGAAAGCGAACAACACTAAAACACGCCACCTGCGAGCAAAAAGCAATCGATAACATGAGCTCGAAGTTTATTGGCAACATGGTGCCGTGCCCCTCAATCGAATTCTGAACCAGCGATCCGAACAACTCGCAAATTTCACAAGTCAAAAGCAGGCGGGCGTAGAAGAGAGGCTGCATACCACTGCCATCATGCCGTCTACTTTCGCCGTGCGGCTGCAGCCTAGCTGCAGTCCGGCGCAATCCACTCGCACGCATATCAAGCCCCCAAGAGGCCGCGCCAGAGGACACTGGAGAAGCATGCTACCCCACCGTGACGCAAGGTGTGTTGCGCGTCTTCGCTGAGGGCTGGTCTAAGAACATCCTGGATTTGACAGGGTTTAGGAACGGGTTGGTTTCGCTTCAGTTTGGAGGGCCGTGCGGCTTGAGGGCTGCCGTTGTTCTTTCCCACGTGCCGTTTTCCAGAGACGTAGGCCATTTGTATACCGGATTTGCAGACAGGCCATTTGTACACTGGAGATTTGCAGATGTGCATACAAAAACGACTCAGCACACGCGGCAGGGTCACGCTAGGTGATTAAGATCCAAGGAAAGTTGCAACAGCGGTGTGGACAGAAAGCGCGAGGAGTAAGGGGTGCAATAACCCTAAGCTACAAATCCCAACGTGTGCCTTGGCAGCATCGGCCCGGCAGCAAGTGGACCAGAGACAGTGTTTGTGTGGCCATCTTGCGGGCATCCGTTGCATCTCGGATGTCTCGCGCATACGCGAGCTAACCAGCAACGCATCTCTTGCCCTCTTTGTCCGTCCGGGTGGTCGGATGTGGCCCGACAGCAGTTCGCGAGGCTGTGTTGCCAGGAGTCGGTGCCCATGCCTGAAGCCGCCATCCCTTATGACGCTCGCGGATAGTTTTGCCATCACGCTTGATGACTTGGGCCCCCGTGCAAGACCGAACCACGGGAGAATGGCAGCCCGAATGGACTTGCCTGCGGTGCAGCGGGTGTCTGACGCATCAACACCCGATGTTGCATCCAGTGCCGGAGGCACCATGTTGTGCTGCGCACGGACCTCTACGCTGGCCTCGTACGCTGGCCCTTGATGTAGCTCACCAGGAGCGTGGTTAGATTTGTTGCCAAGGTCATCCACCAGACATTCTTTCTTGCCCGGGGGTCCAGCCCACACCTACTTCGGAGCAGTTACCGCAGCCATCGCAGCAGGTAGTGCCGGAACCACAGCAACCAACACATCCGGGCCCGCCGGAGCAACAGCCGCAGCCACAGTCGTCCACGTTGGCCAGGCCCGTAACCCCGAAAGAGTGGTTTCCGTGAGAAAAAACGCGCCGCTGCAAAGCTGGAGCCTGCGTTGCGGCTCCTGCGCGACCTCAACCTCGACGCGCCGGTGCTGGACGACCGCCGCCTGGAGGTTGTGGCCAACGCCTTGCCCATTTCGGGCAGCGTGCAGGTCGCGGTCGACACCACCCTCGTCAGCCCTGTCCAAGCTGACGGCGCTCCGCGGCTAGGGGCCGACCGCGAACCCGGCCTCGCCCTGCGCCAGATCCGCCGCCGCAAGCGCCACCACACTTACCGGCGCTGCCGCCTGCTCGTCCTCGGTCTCGAAGTTGGCGGTCGGTGGCTCCCGGACTTTGCGCGCCTGCTCGCACGCGCCAAGTCGTGCCGAGTCCGCGAAAGGCTGCGTGGAGCTGCTGTGCGGGCGTATGTGCGGCGCTGGACGTCCCTTCTGGCACTCGCCGCGCAGCGCGCGCTCGCCGCGAGCCTGCTGCAGCTCCCGCTGTTTGGGGACACGTGCGTTGACGGCGCGGAGCCAGGTGGGCCAACGGGCCAAGCCGCCTTCCCGCTTAAGCCCAGGCCTAAAGGAGGCAAAGGTCATGGCCGAGTGCGCCAAAAGAGCGGACCACCGGGCAACCCTGACCGCCTTGCGGCCTAGGTGGTGCTGACAGCAAGCTGCTGGCCATTCCAAAGCGGCAGGCCGTTGGCAACGACTTCAAGCCGCCTGTCGTCGACTTGTGTTGCAAGTGACACGGGCCCCCGCCTCACGGCAAACCCGCGCGGCGCACCTTTGCAAAGGACAACCTCGCCCCGAAGAGCCCCTGATCGCGCGCAAGCAGCACGGTCAAGAGAAGCGCCCGGAACAAGTCGGAGGAGTGAGCCAAGGCGGGGCACGTTGGCACAGTGGTGAAGCTGCAGGCCTGACTGGAGTGCAGCATGGCTTGGCGCACGCGCAGCTGGCGTGCTGGCATCATTCTCTGGTGGGTTGCCCTGACGGCTCCGGCTATGGCTGGCACTGCTGCTGCTGCGTCGGCCGGAGCGACTTCGGCGATGGCGGCTGGCTCCTCCGCCGCTGTGTGAACTACTGCTACGAAAGCCGCGCTGGTCTCTGCTGGGCGGCCCCACTGCCAGGGCGTGCGTTGCGTGCGACGGGTGATACGGCTGGTGCTGATGTGGCTGCACTCGTGTGGGCGGCATCCCGAGGCACCGGCAGTTGAGAAGCCGGATTTGGGTGGCCAGGCGGGGGTGGGGGAGTGTGTGCATGCCCTCTGTGCACAGGCGTGCCCCCTCGCGCATCTGGTTCAATGGCTGCCGGGCGGTGAGTGGTGGGACCCTCGGCGCTGGTCTGCGGCGGCCACGAGTTGTGCGGCCCCGCGCTCGCCCAGGAACAGCAAGAGCAACACCTCCTGCGCAGTGGCTGGGATGTAGCCATCGGCAAGCGCGCAGCGCTCGACGGCCCAAGGCAGGAAAACTGACGACTTTGCAGGGAGTGATGCGGAGGCTGCCTGGAGCACACTGGCCAGGCCCAGCTCAGCAGCGGGCGCTCGGATGCGGCCGGCTTGGTGGACCTGAGCAGCGTGCAATGGCCTGGATGTGGACGCCGGCTGCGCATCGGAGGCTCAGAAGTGCTTTGCGCCAAACCTGCCCAAAGTGAGCGTGCGTTTCCACTGGTGCGACGCTTCCCTGCGCAAGTTCCCCGCTGCAGCCTGAAGCAAGGGGACCAGCAACCAGCTGTTCGCGCCAGCTTGCATGTGCGCACTGGTGGCTAATGGGTGCCCCCGGGCACTGGAGGACTTAGGCGGTAGCTGTGGAGGCCAGCCTCCCCGCGTGCAGCGCTGTTGCTGACCCGGTCAGCGTCCGGGCACAGGCAGCCGACTGCACTCGGGCGCTTCGGAGTACGGCGGGGCAAGAAGGCTGGTGACATACGCCCGCGCGGCGGCAAACGAAATGAAGGCCGACCACCGGGCGCGGCACGCTGCGGCACATGAGGCTTGCATGTCATCCGGCACAGAGCGGGCGCGCGGGCCCGGGCAAGCGAGCTGACAAACTGACACCAACTTCAAGTCCGACAGCGACAAGGCGGCAGCGATGAGACGAAAGGATCTGGCTGCGCAGAGGGCCAGCTTCCCACCCTGCTCCTCCGTATGCCTCCTGCGTGTGCCCCGCCTAGCGGCTACATCCCTGCCACGGCCCAGGAGGCCCTTCTGTTGGCCTACCTTGGCCCGGGACCTCGATGCCCACACAAATCCCCTCGCGCGCCACGCCCCAGCAGCCAACCAGGCCGGCCCCTACATCCCCAAAGTGCCCCCAGCAGTGCCCACACTGCCCCTACCGACCTCCCTGCCCAGCAGGCAGCTCCCCACACCCCTGACGATGTGCCGCATCCCCCCGGCGCCCTGCACGGCGCTCGCTTGAGGGCAGCTTTCGCAGCTCTTGACCTTTCAATGCGGAAGATGTCCTCAGTCAGCCCTGCCCCACTTCCCGTGCTCCACCGCAGTTTTTGCGGGGCCCCTTGCGCCAGGCCCTTTTGGTCGCTCTCGACGGCATCCGGCTGTCCGCCACCCCGGACGGTGCCGAGGCGGAGCGCGCGTGGAAGCTTTGGCTTTTCCTGCCACGCATGCTCTTTCATAGGCCCGCTGACGTTCCCCGTGTCCCGAAGGAGGTGTTCGCGGCCCGGTTTTTGGCTTTCTTTCGTGGTGAGTGGGCGGAGCTCTTGCGCGAGGCTATCCCTTCCAACCTCCGCGTGCCCGCGCTCGTGAGGCCGGCGCCACGGTGACCACCCACACACTCCTTCGAGACTTGAACGTGCGTGTCGACAGCCTTGATGACAGGGCGCATCGAGGTTATCGCCAATGGCTCCTCGCTAAAAGGCGTGCAGCTTGTGGTTGACACGACCCTGGTCTCGGCCCTAGACTCAGCCGGCCACGCGCGGGTTTACCTTGCTTGGCGAGCCAAAGAGAGGACTTACCGTGAGAGCGTGTGGCAGAGCTGCTTCGGCGGGCGGGAAGTTGGCGCCGTCGAGGGCGGCGACGGCCAGCCACACTGCGCGGCCCTAGCACGCTAGCGCGCGCGCGCGCACGCCGCACGATGGTCCTCCAAGGCATCCAGGGCGCCCTGACACGAGCACACTCACTCACTGAAGGGGAGCGGCACGCGCAGGCGGCGCAAGGCCGCAACCCGAAAGTGAGGGTTGGGGACGCTGCCTCCTCGCTCTTGTGCCAAACGGCCGGGCCCGGCCTCTGCAATGTGGACTGGGCGCTGCCCCCCTGCTGCACCCTGCTTGCCGACGCAGGGGGCCTCCGCCCCGCCTCGCGCCTGCCTTGCCGGTCCCTTGTGCGCATTGTGCCCGGAGGCTGTCCGGCTCACCAACAGCCTTCCTTCAAGCCCTCCTGTGCCCGGAGACGTCCCTCGTTGGAAAAGGGGAAGAAGAAAAAAAACGTCGTTTGTTTTTCTCCGCGCCCTTTTCCGAAACGGCACTGGCGCTATTTGTTTTAGAGGCCGGCATCCTCATGTGTCAAGCGGCATCGCCGTCACAGTTGGACTGGCCCGGGCAGACAGGGCCGTGGAGGAGGGACTGTGCGAAGGCCTGGTGGAAGACGCAAGCTGGGCAGACTAGAATCCCTCGGCGAGGGGCTTAAGACCACATCTTGCGCGCGAACATGTTGAGCCCGGCCTCACGGCACTTCTCTCTTTTTGGTGCTCGGGCCGCACCCGGCGCTGCTCCAAGCAAATGCGGCCTTAACCGCTCAGGAGGGTTTGTATGCGGATATGGACGACACGCGCGTTTCCTCCCGCTTGGACCTGTGGAACTGCAATGTCCAGACTTTGCTGAGCAGTTGGGACGAGATGGGACGAGTCAGCCCACATGCCTCTCTCCTTCTCTGCCAGGATTCCTGGTCAGGAGCTGTGCCGCATTTGCCGGGGGTGCGGACACGTAAAGCGGTCGCCTCGCTTCAAAATGCAAGCATGCAGCTGTCAGCCGCGCCTGTAGTAGTTTGGCCACTAGTGGACGCACCTAGGCTGCGGTAGCTTGTTGGAGAACGGACCGCAACATTGCCAAGCTACTGAGGCGTCGCGAGTTGAGCACACTTGCGCTGCGAGTGGAGTAGAAAGGATTGATCGACGCACTATACACCTCCCCAGGCGTTGTACATAGATCGTCAAACTGCATGGCCGCAATAAGCAGCCGATCGCTACCTGTGTATAGCCGGTTTTGCTTTGCATGACAAGATGCCAGTTGAGTACTGGATAAGTCGCCAGTCCTTTCTGACATGTGGCTGCCTTCTGCTTGAACCATGTCCCGAAGGGATTCAAATTTTGACAAGCTCCCATATCACAAACGGAGCGTGCCAGACATTTAACACCATGGGCACTTCTTTTTTGCTGTGTTCCGCGTGCAGACGCACCTGCTCCTGCCGGCTCTGTGCGGCGAGATCGGGTATGTCAAGCGCTGGCAAAAGACTGGGCGGTTGGTCAAAGTCCACAGGGAGTGAAACCGGCCCTGCTTCCTTTGAAAGACAAAAGGGCTTGTTGAATTGTCGCCTGCCTTGCCACTTCTGTGTGTGTGTCCCTTTACTTTGCAATCTAAATGGGACCATCCGCATCTTCTCTGCTGAGGAATCCTCAAGATTGATTGCTTGTGTTGCACAATCCCACTCCCTGTGTTTCTTTCACCAGCCACTCTTGTCTCCGTGTCCTCCAAAAAGCGTTGGCCACGCTGCCAGTCCAGAAGTCTGCAGTATGTACATGTGCACCGAATCCCGATCGGGATAGCTACTAGGCGATCAGCTCCTGAGATCAGTCCCCTTGGTCCCAACAAAACGCCGCCAAATCTTGCGGGGAATCGCACCAGGCAAAGCAAGCTGAGAATCAAAACCCAGCATCGAAACTTGGGCGTGTGCGACCCATGAACCGCCAAGCAAAGCGTGAGCGCACCAGTGGCGAGTGAGACAGGTGCCAAATTACATTCCGTGAATAGTGCGTGTTCTGTGCTTCTCCACAGATGTCAGTCCAACACATCCCAAAACAAACATACCATATCGCTCGCCATGTTCGAAAAAGGTCGGCAGCAGAAAAAAGGCATCCGCCCTGTTGCTGCCTGATCCTGGACGTGAGGGCCTGCCCCTCTCCAGGTACAAAACACCCCAGGCTCAGCCTGAAGAGCATTTTGCCAACCCCAGCTCGTGCGTCGTTCTGGTTGCTCGCACTCTAACAAGAGTGTCCCAAAGAAACCGTGCGTGTGGCTGCATTAAAGGAAGCCTCTCAAGCATCCAAAACGAGTCAACATGAGCTATTTCTAAGCGCAGTCTTTGCGCAGAAATTCGAGGAGCCAAGCCCGGAGGGCTCGAAGGAGCCGTGCCCCAACACCTGCGATGGTTTGGCTTTGCCCAAAGTTACCCCGGCCAACGTCCAGAGCAGTTTGGGGCACCACTCATGGAGCCCCTCCCGCAGCTCAGCATGAAATCCAAGCCCTGAACTCAAGCCCTGTGAGGTTTTCGACGCCTGTGCTCCAGAACTGGAGCTTCACGGGCAAGATCCGGGAGCGGAGCCGCCTGAAAAAGCGCCAGGCACAAACTCTGGAGCGGCGCGCCGCTCAGCAGCCCCTTGGCCGTTGGCCAAAAGCGCAGCCAGCCGCGGTCTTGAAAAAGGGGCGCCGTGCCCCATGGGCAACTTCAAATGCACTCAATTCGCTCGAACCTCATGCACTCAGCAGAGCAGTCAACTCTTAAATGAGTGAAAGCTGGCCAGGCCCCACTGTACGTTGTTGTCCAAAGGATCACATTTCCAATCGGGACAACTCCTGGCGCAATGAATATGAACAAAATGAGTCTGACCTCACTCCCTGCTGATGGCCCAAGACCTGTGACAAGTCAACAAACAAATCCTGACACTAGTCAACCATGGATCCAGCCTGCAAATTAGGGCACATCACATTGGGTGATATTGTTCAAACTCAGTTGTTGTCTTATACATTCATTAGGGAGAGCTCGATCATAATTTACACGTCTCAACATGATCGCCCGAATTCTGAATAGTTAAACACCGCGCGCAAATTGGTACATGGTGTGCACTAAATCGACGTATTATGTCTCTTCTAAATGCGTGTAAAGATGTTGCGCTTGTCCATGCCATGTTTGAAGATGAACAAACTGGAATATTGCACTTACATTTGTCCAAGCTAACTGGCATGTGGTGTTTTCTGGGTTGAAGGGTTGTTCAAGTTAATATCCAAATCGTGTGTAACAGTTCAACATGCAAGTGCGAATAGTCAGTTGATGGAATGCCGAAGCTGCAACTTTCAGAAAAGGCCAAACGGCCATTTGCTAAACATTCTCCAAGCATTCTTCCCCTACGGAAGCAGTCTTCTGTGGCAGCCTAGCTGGGGGCTTTTTAGGAGGCTATCGGACTCTGGCGGGGTCCTTCTCTATCTCCATGAGCGTGGCGAGGAGCTCTTCCTTCTCCCAGTCCATGGCAATATCTGTGCCGGCCTCGAGCCAATAAGCTCTCCAGACTGAATTTGGGGCGTCTTCGGGATGTGTTTGCCGATGCTGAATGCTGCATGTTCAAGCAAAGCGCCTTCGTTTTGTGTGGCTTGGGCTTAGGCTTGAGGTGGGTTCAAGGTTGGGGGGGGGGGGGGTTCCAGGCTTGTTTAGGGTTTAGTGCTTGGTGCTGGTTTCTCGGGCGAGTGTAGGGCTGGCTTAGGGTAGGTTTAGGGTGGCTTTGGGATGGTTGACTCTTGGTTTTGTTTGCTTGGGGGGGGCGGTTGAGGTATAGGGTTTGCTAAGGGTTAGTTTAAGGTGGTTTAGGGCTTAGGGTGGTTTTGTTTGGGATTAGTGCAAGTTTCAGGGGTTGAGGATTGTGTTGAGGTTGTGGGTGGCTTAGGGTTGGTTTAGAGTGGGTTTAGGGCCCGAAGCGTTTGGGGTGATGTACTTTCGGATTCTTTACAGTTGGGGTTTGGGCTTGCCTTTTGAGGTCACAAAGCCGAACAACGGCCCTAAAAGGAAGGGCCATTAGAAAAGAAATAAAGACACCAGCGGAGCAGAAGGAAGCGGGAAGCCGAACAAGGGGGGGGGGGGGAAGGGGCACTAGAAAAACGAATTCACACTAATGAAGAAAGTGCCCGGCAAGCCAAAATGCCAAGAAGCCAAAACACCAAGAAGCCAACCAAAAAGCCAAGAAGCCAAAATGAGAGGAATCTGGGAGCCAAGAAGCCAACGAACCCAACAACAAAGCAACATAGCAAACCTCGGAAAACGCCACAAAAGCCCAGAAGCCAGCCCAAAGAAACAAAAAAAAACTGGAAAAATCGCCCTCCGCCAAAAACTTCTGGTCTCCGTTTGACCCACCCCAAAGTCATTAGCCCTGTGCCAGCGGCTGCCAGGCGGCGACGCCGAGCCGGTCTCGGATCTCGTCCTCCGTCATGTGAGAGTAGTCCTGAGAGTACGTGGTCACAAAGATCGAAAAAAGTGTATCTCACGCCGCAGTAACAAGAAGCGTGGAGATGCGCAGGGTCAGATTCACAGATTTGGCCCGGGGACTCATTTATGAGTTGATGTTCCATGCGGGTTAGCTCATTTGGCTGACCAGCACACCTGTCAAATCAGGGCACCCTTGAACATCACCCCACCCGACTGATGCGGCGAGGGGCAAGATCCGGGAGCGGCGACAAGCACGGGGAGGAGGTGGGCCTCGAGCAAATCACACGTAAGACCCGGACAAAATTGGGTTGTTTCTTCCATGACGCAGGGCTCGGCATCTGGCCATCAGGGCATTCCGATTGGAATGCTGCAAAATAGACATGGCATCGCAAAGTCTTGCCCCCTGTTAGCGCCACACATGCAAATGTTGGGCACTGGCGTTTGTTCGCCTATGAAAGCGTTGGGCTAGGATAAGCGCCATTGAGGCATGCCAAGACTATGCAAGTGCTCGATTCACAGAAAAGCCAGCAGCAACTGGCCCGCCATTCCGAGTCCCAAATTGGTGGTTTGGTTTGGTGGATAAGGGGTGGCTTCCCGTCGACCATCTGCAGCCAGGGTTTCAAATCCCAAAACCACTATTCCACACCAAGCAAGGGATACAGCGCCTGCTCTTACCCACTGGCTCGCGGCTCCCGCCATTTCGCCCAGGCACGAAGGGCTCGCAGTTGAGGCGCTGGAAGGCCTTTGCGACTCGCCGAGTCCACGAGTCGACGGGGTTGGTCTCCCCCAAGTTTAGGAACACCTGTCTGGGGCTGGCTCCCTGTGCAAAGCTAGTTTCCTTTGGACCCGTTGTTGAGACACTGCCATACTGCCATTGGGAGAAAGAACAACAAAGGCTGGCAAGCCGCGGTCAAAGGATGTTGGTGCTTCAACAACGGGAGGCCCTTCAAATGGCTTGGTTCATCTTGGCTTCTATTCAAAATCTTAGGGGACATGAGGGTTTTCCCAGTGCACATCATACCCAGTCGCTGCTTCCTCGATGGGCATGTACCATCATCAAAGTCACCCCCCAAGTGGTAGGTGCAAGGGAAGCAAATCCTGTTTCTGGCTTTGAATACCCCCACAACCAGATAATGACCCCAGTGTGTTGCGGGATGTTCGCACAAGGTCTCAAAGACGTCTAGGTGGGGCTGCTGAGGCTTGACCGGGCTCTCTCTCCCTCTCTTCATGTCGGCTCTTTTTTCGGACGGTTCACTAGCGACTTTGACACCTCGGCCAAGGGTCAGCACTTGAAAAGCTGATGACAGGCCCGAGTCAAGAAAACATGAATCTTCCGCTTGAATGGTGCAGCAGAGCGGCGGCTCCACGCGCATCTTTTTGTACTTGACCTGGAAATAAATCGGGCAAACAAGGAGCACATACCCATCTTCCCACTCCAAACCAATTCAGGTATCCCATCGCACAGAACCAACACATGAAAATTGCGGGTGAAGCGGCTTCCTGGATGGATTCCTGCTTGTCGCCCTCGTCAGGGTCATCGTCTGGAATGACCCACACTGGAGTGCTCTCGAGCAAAAGAACCTTGGACGTACAATGCAAAGGCTGCAACGAGAGGTTGGGGCATCGATAGATTTGGCTAGTACAAAAATCCCCACATGGCAGGAATGCCCAAATGAGATTGGCTCCAAAAATGAGGGAATGTGGGGATCGTGACCACGGGCTATGGGCATTTTCTTTGAGAAGAAACTTGGGGATGTGCCTCGTCCTTGTTGCACCACCGGACAAAACTGAGGGCGAACACCTCTTTTTCTCATCGCACAAAGTTGCGACGCCAGGCCCTCGTCCGATCTCACAAAAGGCATGTTAAATCGCACGATATGGGATCCGTGGAGCAAACACCCGTATCCGTTGCAAGCCATGTTCCCATCACGGAACCTGAGCGGACTCTCCGGAAAACCCTGCGATGTTCCCCAAAGCCTCTGCCTCTGCATCTTGCCAAGCTGCATAGTCCTCCGGAAGCCTCGGCAAGATCTTGGCATGTGCCAAAGAGGCTCCCAAGCTCACAGCTAAGGAAAGCGCCCGAAACGAATTTGAAACAGCACCGCCCCCAAAACAATTGGAGAACAGAAGGCGCGGGCTCTGCTTTACAGCTCTTGTTTCTGCAACCAGTAAGAATGCAAATTCATGAGAGGCAGCCTCATGGAAGGGAACCAGCAAAAAGTGTTTCGTGTTCGCTGGCAAAATGCCGCTCTCCAACCAACATGAAGTAGCCATGTCTGATCAAGTGAGCCAAACAGGAAGGAACTAGTTGTGCAGTGTACACGCTGGCTCAACATGATACAATTGGAATGGCATGAGTCCAACGGGTAGTGTTGCATGCTGAATAGATTGCGACATGTCATGATTCTGGTTCGTACGAAATAATCGGTTGCAATGACAGCAAACAATCCCATAAGTGATTTGCCTCCAAATGTCCAAGACCTGCCAAAAGGAGGCGAAGCTTTAAAGTTATACAGCTTCTTGGAAGAGGTCCCTATCCCCATGGGTCAGCGCATCTCAACCGCGTGGCATCTCGTTCATCTCTGTATCCGTGTCTTCGGATGGTGTTCTCACACTAAATGGAATATCTGCAGGCGTTGTCGGTGTGACAAGTTGCACCTTGCAGGGAGGAGAACCACTTGCGAGCCGATGCGGACTGTAGCTTTGCTTGATGCCCTGGTGAGTTTCCTCGCGGAAACAGCAAGGAGTCTTGGTTTCCTCATGCAGCCTACCTAAGCTTCACCCTGATTATATTGTTGCGGGCGAATAGACTCACGATGAAGAAAGTCCAGGTCAATAAAATGTGCAGTTGCAATGCTCGCCATCATGGACAAAGATGTTCTGTTGCACGATGGGTCCTACGATCGCTTCAGGCTCGGCCATTACAGTATGCTCCCTTTCACATTCTCTGGACTTACGATAGTGAATGTCCATCCTTGTGAAAGGGTGCGCGTATCAGTACCCCCTATGTATATATATATATATATACATCTACATATTGTATCTTTATGCATATTTCCCTAATATTATCCGGTCTTGAACTGGCGGCACCTGCTTGTGTTGGCTTGTTTTGGGCCATGCCCTTCCTCCTGCCCCCTGCTATTGCCCGGCCCGGCCTGCATTGGGCCTGCCACAATGCTGACCGGACTGGCGTCGCTGTTCCATCCCTAAATCCCAGGGCCTGCCCCACAAAAATCTGAACAAAAAAGCTCTTTTGTGCTGCGCCTGTCCCGCAATGACACCAATCCCACACTACTTACTTTCGAAGAGGTCTCGCAGGATTCGATTTGCCAAGACAGTGTGTGTGAGTGTGTGTAAGAACAGTTGCATGTCACTCATGCATCCTTGCTCAGTCTAATCAAATGAACATCTGGCCATGGGAACAGTGAATCAAATCCAATTGCTTCAAGGAACATGAATGATTGAAGCCGCTGCAATCCTCCAATCGGAACCCAGCGGTTGAACCTCACAAATCATCATCTGAAAGGCCGCCTTAGAACCCCCAACAAAACGTGTTGCGAGCGTTCTTTTGTGTCAAGTGCAGCATGGTTCCACTTCAACAGGATCGGGAATATTGCTTCTGACGGATCCGAGCATCTGCCACTGAAGCCTTGGCCTCCCTGCAAAGCTCTCATGAGGAGCGAGCATTTATGAACGCAGCAAGCTGTGGCTTCAAAATACAAAGACGTCGTCTACGCCAGAAACCACAACCGTACAAAGGAAGCCCCGCTGGAGGCTTGGCGAAACAAGGTTGAATCTTGTGCAGTGCACAAGCGGGCCCCGAACATGAAACCCATTAGATTTTCCCTCAAGCCAAACATTGCTAAGATGCAGAGGGTGAGAATGTGCCACAAACTCTCAAATGTGTTGTTCGCTGTTTGGTTTCATGTAGTCTTGCTGCTGTTTTGCAGGTTCTTGGGTAGAAGCATGAAGCTACTGAGCTGCTGCGTGCTCAAGACGGGATGGTGTGATCGGATATGATTTGGCTTATCACTTATGCGCCGCAGACGGTGATTTTCTTAACACAACGAAGAGATACCAGGTTGTCACGTTGCTTCTCATTATTTTCCATTGATGTCCATCCACAGAGGCAATGTGAAAATATGTTGCGGCGTTGGCAAGACACCCCGGCGGATCGGTTTGACACAAACAGCTATCTCATCCACTAGCAAAGCCACTGATCCTCGTCAACTTGAATGATTGACCAGCTCTAGGCCTTCAATGGTTGATGGACTTGGCCAGCCTGCCGCAGAGGTCGTCTGCATCTCAGCGGCTGCTGCGCACTTGGCCAATGAATGCATGGCTCCCTCGCAAATCCAAGAGATACGTCGAGCAAAATGCTGAGACGATGAAGGGCACACAACTCGAACTGCGGATCTGAAACGTTGGCATTGACCGACGGCCGACCATAAGAACCTGGAAAAATGGGACGCGACACTCCAGACCTTCTCCTTTTACAGTAGAGTCTTTGATTTCAAGCAACTCTCAGTTTACCTAAGAAAGCATCAAGATACACTGTTCCCATAGTTTCAAACTTACCATGCAAGCCATGCACTAGCAAAAATGCTGATTCAAGCAAAAAGTCAAGCTGCCCGCACTGAAGTACCCTTATGCATTGCGGGACGGAACGGACACAGGCACTATCTTGTCCTCCTTCAAACCGATTTGTGCCGGCATCCCGCGAGAGACGCCAGGCCCCGTCGGTATCAGACCCGCCAGCCTTTTAGGAGTCAGGTCAAGAACCAACGGGATCAACCGGGACCAATGAGTCAAGCCAACCTCTACAAACTAATTCGTGACTTGCACCACGGTGCAAACTGCTCAGCAGCCCAAAGTCTCATGCCAAAACAGCCAGCTGCCAAACACGGGGATGCACCTTTCGCAAACCCGACAAGGTTCAAGGCCGAAGCCCTCACATCTCCTGGCGCCCCTGCGACTCAAGGCCTTCGATGTAAAAGAAGCCGATCTGCTTCATGATGCGTTGCCTTAAGCTACAGCGAAAACTCGAGCAAAGCTGCCCAGACCCCTGGAAAGCTGTAAGGAAAGCTGTAAGGAAGGAAGGAAAGAAAGAAAGAGCGAGAGAGAGAGAGAGAGAGAGAGAGAGAGAGACAGAGAGAGAGAGAGAGAGAGAGAGAGAGACAGAGCGAGAGAGAGAGAGAGAGACAGACAGAGTCTTGATTGACTCACACGCGCCTTGCACTCCGACAAGCCCGACAAGCCCCATATATCCAGCTGGCAAAGACAATCCCAGAACCCGGCTTCAGCCCAGCTTCAATACAAAAGTGCCCATGCAGAAGCGGGGTGCTTCTGCGCAGCCCGTCACGTTCGGGCCTCGGAGTGTCTGAGACTCATGCATGGGACGTAGAATACCGTTTTCGGCTGAATCTATTTCATATTACCTTCAAAAACATTGCCCTCTTCCTCTCCGCAAATCACGGGTGATGTCTCATGAACCACATCATACTCAAACGGCTGCCGGCAAAACCTCTTCTCCCCCGCCAAGCCTCCCATGAGACCCAACGTGCCAGGGCACACTTCTTGATCTCCCCATACTCTGCCACAAAGGACAGGAACCGGTCCGCATTCTCCCGACCGGGCATGAAGGCTAAAGCCTGAGGTCCACACACACCAAGCCTCTGCTTTGCGAACAAACATTGTCCCTGGGTGCCCCATGTAAAGTGGCCATTTCTTCCTGAGTTGCCTGGGGGTCGCAAAGGAAAGAGCGTAGACAAGCCCCAAATGAGCTGACTACCAAATATGCCAATCCCCTGGTCATTCCTGGAATCGCAGGACTCCCAGCACGATGCTCAAGCAGGCATCCAGCTCCTGGTTTCAAACAGGATGTATTTGAGACTCATCAATTGGGATTGGACACGTACGTCCTAATAGTTGCAGCCAGCCATTGGGTTAACAAAGTGTCTCAGTAAAACAAAATGCTTTACTTAAAAGTCGAAAATCCGAATCAAACATTTGACTCGGACCTGCCCTGTACCTGCACCTGCTGCCAGGCTTCATAGTCTAGGTCTCGTTTCGGTCCGCCAAAGACAGCAGGATCATGGTTGGCGTGCAGGGCTATCGTGGCACCGTGGGATCCTCGGCTTTTGGATAGCTGGCCCCACGAGAGGCCAGCTAAGCTGCGCAGCTTGCCCCGTGGGGAATGGGAGGAGGACTCGGTGATTGCTACCAACCACAAAGT